CGAATTGCCTGCAATAGATGTCAAGCAATAAGCGCTGACATATATTGCAGCACATAAGAAATAGGCGGTCTCCATTGGAAATATATTTTGTGACATGGTTATCACGACATCAGTGTTTTCCTGTGGAGACAGGGCCTTAAGCAAGTGACGTTTGGCGAAACTTGACGAAACTTGATGTTAAGCACATTATAGTTTCAGAATAGGATTTATGTGTATTCGCACGTTTGCATACGCTTGCTTATTCATATTATAGTTAGCCCTTTATTTATCATCAACTTCTAGCGGTTGGCCAACTGGTTGGCCGATAAATCGATCCGTGTGTAGGGCCTTTGAAATTGCGTTTACACGAGACAAGACAAATGAGAATATGCAATAGGAATGTTCGATATCGTATCGATTATTCTGAATATCGATATTTCATGGCACGATAATCGATTTTTTGAATCGATATTCCAAGGTCGATATATCGAAGACATCGATACTTTACTCACAATATCGTTATTTAAGTTTAAATATATTTTTCATCCACAACAAAGGACATGGGAAAATACTAAAGTAGGTTTAATCAGCAGCTTGTGTGATTTATTCAGCTGTTAAGTTTGAGAAACCGCTGGAGTCGACCGGCATGCTGTTTCAATCCTCAGTGAATATAAAAGATGGAAATAACACAATTAGGTGAGTTGATTGGAAGGTCTAATATTCTATTCAATTGGAATAAGGATTTTCACATCGATTTTTTCGATATCGATATTGTTCAGGCCGATACATCGCCATATCGATTTTACATTCATTGAATTAAATCGATTCATGATATCGATACTTTCTGAAATATCGAACATTCGTAATTGTATGATGCAATAATAGGTGCGTTCGTTTAAAATCTCCAACAGAAACCAACCAACTGCCAAATTTCGGCGAAATGTCGTCTCTTCTCTCACAAGAGAGAAATATCCAAAATAGTACGCGAACAGAAAATTTGCAGAAACTTGCAAGTTAGACGAATAGCTGATATAATTTTTGGGTAATTCTCTAGGGTGGGGTAACAACCCCTAAAAAAGGTGCGGAAAAGTCGGGAGGGGTACCAAACGACGCGTTTCGGCCCCCCTAATAACAATCCCGAGGGGGTTCGATGAAGAATAGCGCTATTGTGAATTTCGCTCGTTTAGGTTGTTCACAATAGTATATTTTTCACCGCTGAGAAGTGTGCTTATACATATTTATGTAAATTTGTTCTAATTAAAATGAAGTAAAAAAGAAAGCAAGTTTATAACAACGTGGTAAAATGAGTACGAGTTCTGGTTCAACGTTTCGTCAGAGGATGAGAGCTTAGTAAACTGGCCAGGAGTAGCAAATGTTTAAGAGAGTTTAAGTTTATTAGTCTTTCGAATATATTTTGATATAAAATATATTTAAGAAATTTGTCTACAGATTCATTAAAAAGTTCCGACCATCTAAAGAGGCGTTTGTGAACCAAATCTATTTAAAATA